AATTGCACGACACTGAAAATGCACCCAACATCTAGGTAGTTTAATTTCCATAAACCTTAATTTGCATACAAATTATCGTTAAACAAGCTTATTTGTAAATTTATATAATGTCAATATTACGTCAAAGCTTCATGCCTATAAACTTAAAATGATTATGGCTAGCAAATAGCAATTACAGAATTGGAAGCACACAAGGCAATTTTACTTATTTCCTTTCCTCTCCTCGTTCTCCATCCCATCCAAACGTACCGTAAAGTAAAAGTATATATATATATATATATATATATATCCCAATTTGGTATTCTTAAAAAGTCCTAAAAGTGCAGTCAAATATAAAGTATCAACACTTTGCAATTTATAAGAAAAAGATATAATTTTTTATATTATTTCTGAAGTTTACCAAATTGGGCCATGGTTTAAATGTCAAAGTACTGCTACTTTACATTTTACTACCCGACAACATTTTTTTTACTGAGTCTGAATTCAAAGGAAAAGGGGTTTGGACAAATATATGATCCAACTAAATGAAGGAAATGGGACATATTCATATTGGCAGGGATTTTTCTATCATTTTCATGTTAAAATTTATCATTCTTAATTTGGCAATTCTTATTTTAGTTACTGGGATTGTTAACTATGGCAATGTGTGAATTTAAACAAATAATGTAGCTGAGGACATGGTTTACATTTAGCAGTGACCATATCCAAATAGAGAGGCCAATGACTGGCTACTTCTGAATGTAATCTCACAAGCACAAATATTTGTTTTCATGTGAAACATATTGTTTGGTCCAAGTCAGCTTTTTCTTTTCCATTTACTTCCAAACAATTCAGAGATCACATGTAGTGTGTTCCCTTCATTTTATTGGGTATGGATTTAATTTGAAACCCAGCATTGTTGTGGCGTAGACTCTCTGAAAATTAGGGTCCTCTGTTTTTCACTTTTGGCTGACAATTTACATAACATGCACGAACAACTCAACTATTATGAAAAATTATGACAATTGATAATTCTTACTCTATAGTAGATACTATGCAAATGCAAGTTACTGAAAACCTTATGAAGCTTTCTTGTCTTTTCAGACCATCAATATTGAAAGAGTAATGTTATTTTTCCAATAATTTCTCACGAATAATTTTTACAATAAGAAGACAGATAAAAGAATGAAAGAAATGTGTAAGATGTAATGAATAATGCACTAAAAAGAAATAGAGAAAAAAAAATGTAAAGTATTGTCAAATTGTGAATGAAAATAGCATTATTCACTTTACAGAAATTAAACTCTTTGCTTCTTGAACCTTATTGATACACTTTACAAACATGTGCATCAATAAGTTATTTGCACAAGGTACTATAGTTTGTTCGATATACGAATAACTACAGAAGTAAGAAATATAAAACTATAATTTACTACATTCGACGAGTACTATGAATAAATTTTTTTCCCCCTATTACATGTTTATTTTCTAATTTATCCTAACCATACTGAGATGTAGGTTCTTTCTTAATTTTTCTTAAAATAGATGACGATTCTTATAAAATAATATTATAGAATTATTGTGAACACTTTTAAATTTATTTAGTAGATAAAATAATATATATAAATAAAAGATCTTCTTACACTAGTGTAAATCTACAAATTCTTATACTTAATCTGAACCTTTCATTTAACTTAAATCTAATGATCAATAAAGTAATAAATTATAACCTGTTAGATTTAAATTAAATAAAAGGCTCAAATTGAGTGTAAGAGTTTATAAACTTACACTGGTGTAAAAAGATCTTACCCAATATATATATATATGGTATGATAATTTAATTTATTAAATTCATTATTTTTGTATGCATCAAATGTAAAATAAAATAAAAGTTTAAAGTACATTTATTCTATATCATGTTTCCATTCAAATTTCATTTTTTTAATTTTTTAATTATATCTGTCAAACGGGCCTTTATATATTCAAGCTGTTCTTTCACAACCATCCTTTTGCTTTTATGTATGTAAATTCACCTTCATGCATGATAATGAGATCTTTAGTACCTAAGTGAAATTTACCGTTAACACGATGACCGATAATGAGAAAACCGAAGTGTTTTATGTTATATTATACATCAAACCTAGTTCTATGCTACAACTAAAAACATCAAACATTTTCATGTGAGGTTGACAGTGAACCAAAGCCTCCGGAAATTCTAGGTAGATGAATGGAATGGACTATGGAGACAAGCTTTAACCAAAGTCCAAAGGAAGTAAATCTAAAACATGACCCGCATGTTATGGTATTGAATGGACAAATAGAGCATTTTTTCTACACAAACATAATAATATACCGCAGGCTTTATATATGTAAGTTCTTTTGTTCTTCTGTGTCCACTCTTGTGAATGATCAAATTTTGGTGAAAGCTTCAGTAAATGATGAAGCTTGACAAGCGTGTTAAGAAAAGAGAACTGACTACGTTAAGAGACTTATAACATGTTTGATTTATATCAAGAAACATGTGAGTTCATGTTTATGTCAATGCTACTAGCTGTAGTTTTAGCATTATATTTATGTTTATAGTGTTTTCAACATGTCTCTAAACATGGACTTAGTGTTTGTTCGTTTGTTGTTAAATTTTTTTTATATTTCTCAATAATAAACACATGTTCTAATAAAAAATTATGGCTAAGATTAATTTTGATACACCTCTTAACTATGTCTAATGGTTCAAATTAATTTTATGAAGATAATTTTGTTCAACTTTAAAACAAAGGGGACCTTAAATTGTTCCCATGCTCTTGTTTTCATGCAAGGCTCATCTGGAGCAAGATATTGTTGTCTCCAACATTTGCCTTGGAACCGCATACTATGCAAGCTTAAAACTGATCCTTGTCCCACCACTTTGACAGTGAATTCAGAGGAAATGCGATAGTGACATGTGCAGGCAACTGTCCTAATAAGGTTCTCATTCTCTCAATTATTCAACTTTGAATAAAAGCTAGCTGACACTTTTTCTTCTTTTTCCTGAATTCATTTAAATTTGACAGATGAATCCTTCCCTTATCTCTCTCTTTCATGTGCTATATGTGTGTGTATATATATACATAAAATTTTTATTTTGAGGTTGGTTCATATGGAGCATTGAACAACATTAACTCAAATTTTATGCTCATTCTAGTTGATGGTCCTTTATTGGTAGGTAATTTGTCAAGTACATGTACATAGATTAGTTGATACACCTTTGGATAAGAAAAATATCTTTCTTCTCCATTCAATATACTGGAAAGAAAATAAAAATATAATGAGGGAACTGATTTGATTGGTGCTTACTCGGAAGCCCATATGTATGTATATTCCTGCACTATGTTACTGTTGCCCTGGTCTTTATTATGTACCAGGGTCGGTTTCAGAACTTAAATCAGATGGGCAGCAAAAATAAATGCTTTAATATATATGATATATTTTTAGTTAATTGTTAAAAATTAATTTTTCAAAGATAAAAATATATTGCCAAAATAAACATAATTTCGATATCAATACACTAAAAAAACTTAACTATTTATTAATTGTTCTAATCTTATAAATATTCATAATTATATATTCTTTTACATTATATATATGGGACCACCCTTGTCTCCCCTGCTTTGTAGTCACCTAGTGTGGTGGTGCACTATTCAATTTTTTATTTGGTCAACAGTCAACACCATGCACTCGTGTTGATACTGTTTCGGGTTTTGTCATGAAGTTAATGGAACTCTTTCTGTTTTGGTCAACGAAATTAATGGGCTCAACTTCCCCAACTTAGATGACAATTTGGGCCCATATAGGGCATATGGGTCAAGACATGTTCATCTTGGTTTTCAACCCATTCTGCTCTTGCAATTGAAAAATAAAATACAACACATATTTAGACCAAAAAATAGTTCTTGACAAAAAATAATAATTTAAAAATACAATACCACATACAGTATCTGGGGATATACGGAAGGCTTGAAACCAAAAGGTAAAAAGAAAACATAAAATCAGCCATTTTCTATAGGAAATATTTCTTAAGAAATAGTAATATAATTGTTATTGACTCAAATTAATATTAAAAATGCATAAGTTCATATGAGTGTCTCCATGAGTTTGTATTACTATTGTGTAATGAAATTAGCATGTTTGGGCTAAAAATCATGGATTTTGCTTCTTTATTAGAGCTGTTTTGTGAAAATCACTAAAATATAAACCTTTATTGAGATGTTAATGATCTTAAAAATCTGATATCTTACTCTGATTGGAAGAGTGCACGTGCATGGGGATCCATGAATCTCCCTGCCATTATCTTTTGCCCCTAAGACATAAATATTTTGATAATAAATTAAGCTAAATAATATGCATGGGACTGTGATCCTGCACAAAAGAAACTGCAGAAAGAAAAAATAAAAAACAAAAAGAGAAAAAACTTGGAGTTTCTGAAACACCAGAGATTCCCGGTTCAGCTCTTCATTCCAAAAACAGTAATAAAATACTAATAACAATTAATGAATTTTGTCTCATTTAACAATGTCACTGTACAAGACACTCACGCATTCACAGGTTTCTTTACCCAAAAAGAGAAACGCATTCACAAGTTTCAAGCTTTCAAATGTCAGAACTCTGAACTCAGAATATAGTGCCAAGCAGCATGGGCTACCAACAGCTATGAACTAGTACAACCTAAAACTGCTCAAACATCATTGTACTGGCCAATGCACATCCCACATTTCACTTCCTGGTGAGAATTTTGATATACATTGTTCATTTTGTTATGATCCTCAAATGTTTTTTTTTTAATATTCCTTAGTTCTTTCAGTAGGGCCTAATTAGTCCCTTTAGAGAAAAGAAAAAACTTGCATTTGCTAATTTTCTATGCTTAAAAACTTAAATTTACTATGTGTCTTTGATTTTGTGAATGGCTTAGTCGTGCTTGTTTTTGAAACAAGGATCAATGTTAGAAGATTGATATATATGAGTACAAGGTTTGATGTCTGTTTAGGATGGAGTGTCCAAACACTAAGATCATGAAACCCAACTCAAATATATCAGAAATTGTTTGCAAGTTAGCCAAAGTGCGCACATTGAAATCCATTGGGGTGTTGTCCTCTGAAGCTCCCGATTTCCATCACTTGCAAAAGCCCATTTGCAATGTTGCTTCACTGAGTAAAAACATCAGTGATGCAAGTGAGGAGAGCAAAATCTATGGCCAAAAAATCCATCTGCAGCACAGTTTAGTACCTGAAGGAGAGGATTCTTGTGCTAGTGTGGAGATCATGAAGATATTTGATAATGTTTCAGCTTTGAAAATGGCATATCTTCAGCTTCAGCAAGCTCATATCCCTTATGATCCACAGAAGATAACTGCTGCTGATGAAAGAGTAAATGCTGAACTTGAGAAACTATGCAAATTCAAGTTTGAATATAAGGAGAAGCAAAACATGAAAGCCAAGTCCACTGCTGCATGTTTTGATCTTTTGCAATCTAAAATTGAGGCCAAAGAAGCTTTTTTGGGGAAGCTTAAGTCACTGAACAATGCTAAAGATTTTAAGATTCTTCGGTTGCACCAAGAGCTCCAGGACTTGGAGATGGGGAATAATAACCTGCATGAGAAGATCAAGAGGATGAGTAAGAAGAGGAAAACAAGTGTTTTGAGTGTTGCAAAGTTCAATGATGTCTTCAAGGCTGCTTCAAAGTCAATTCATAAATTTGCAAGGCCATTAATTAGCTTGATGAAAGCTTCAGGTTGGGACTTAGATGTGGCAGCACAATGGATTGAGAATGAAGCTGTATATTCCAAAAGGTGTGACAAGAAACATGCCTTTGAGGCCTACATTGCAAGAAGAATGTTTCACGGGGTTTCTTTGACATCTTATGATGTTGGTGATATCATGAAGTTTGATGATCCAATTGATGCACTGATGGAGAATCCAGACTCAGATTTTTCAAAATTTTGTAGAACAAAATATCTTCTAGTTGTTCATTCCACAATGGAAGAGTCATTCTTTGGGAATTTGGATCACCGAGCTTTAATATTGTGTGGTAAGCACCCAAGAACAGAATTCTATCAGTTATTTGCGAAAATGGCTAAATGGATTTGGGTTTTAGTAGGTTCTGCAGCGTCAATAAATCCCGATGCAACCATGTTTTTTGTAAATAGAGAAAGCATGTTCTCTGCTTTGTGTATGCAACCTGTTGAGGAGGAAAGAGAGATTGCTGTTCTTTCAGATGAAGAAAGAGCCACTTACAAAGTTCAGTTCATGATTATGCCTGGATTTAAAATTGGACAGACATTGGTAAAATCTCGAGTTTATATCTCAAAACAATGTTAAAGCTATATAGTGATCCTTTTAATTGGTAATTCAGCTTAAGGACTGTATAACTTTTGTACATCATTTTTATATTATTTGGTAGTTTTAGCAAGTCATGATAACAATTACTACTTGGTTATATCAGAACCTAGATCCACCATATTTGTCGTTGTAGTTTTCTTTTTCTAGTTCATATTGGTTAGAGTCTTGATATATCTACTTGTTTTTAATCGTCTCTAGTTTCTTAATTTCTTCAATGAACTGATTTTTTTCCCATTAAAATTGCTCTATGAACTGTACATAGAGAAACTTATTTTTTGAAAATTTCCTTGGGCTTTTGCTCCGCAATCGGGTCAAAATCCTTAAAACACCTAACATGAAATAAGAGATGTGGATGGCTGAAATGCATGATGTGGCTGATGTATTTATTGTTTGAAACAATGTTTATTTATTATGATGCTGTGCTGTAATTATTGTACTGTGGGTAGGATCATAGTTTATGTCTAAACATAGTGCGTTATAATTTCCTTAAACTTTTAACTTGAGGCCAACAGAAATGAATGATTTTAGAATGAAAATTGAAGGGAAAAAGACGCAACCAAAGTTCAGCTACTTAATGTTTGCTGACTTCCTTTCATTTTACTTTGTGGGGAAGGTCGATGAAGTCATCCTTGATATGAATCTTGGACTCCTGGTTATGTCTTGCAAATAAGATAAAAAGCCTAAAAAGGAGCAAAATCACAATTCAAGATTTCAAATTAAGTAAAATAATTAGATATATACAAGATCTTTATAAGGAGGAATGTAGATTGTATCTTGTATACAAGGAGAGGGTCATAACCATAAGGCCCCATAACTATAAATGTAGACCTATAGAAAGATAACCTTGATCTGTTCACACAAGTTTAAAGAGTCACTAAACTGAAAACTAAGATAAAAGAAGAATCAATACGTTATCTATTTTGCTCTCCTTTACTCAAGCCTTATGGAGAAGAGCATATTCTCAGCCATCAGTTAGAATCGAACAACCTTCCTCACTGTCTGAAGAAAACAAGTCCTTGCAGATTTCTACATAGAATCTACAAATTAAATCAATGAAGACAGGACACTTGATGTTTTTCCAGCAGTATAGAAATTCTTCAACATCCATCAAGTCCCTCATCTTCCCTTCTTCCACAATCATCTCCACCAAATAGTTTTCAAAAATCCTGCATGTCTCTTCTACATGGAGAGAAACTTCCGTTTTGTCTAACTTGTGAGCTCTTACATAAGCTGAAGCAATTGGTGCTGAATATGATGAAAAGAGAGGAGTTTCATGCACATTGAAGGGACTTCTAAGGTCTGATAACCTATCTTTGCCTTTAGATTTCCTTAGGGAATGAAATACTGATAATAACAGTGAAGACATTGGATTAGTTGTGTGGGCTTTGGTTTTTGAATTAGTAAGCACGGAGTCCAAAGGGCTTTTATAAGTACTACACTGGTTCTTCCTTCTGAGTATATGAATATCAGCGATAGTTTTTTGCATGGTTAAATAACTTGGATCTAAAGATACCCTTGCCTTCACTTTCATCTCCAAAGTGAGAGAAGAATGTGGTTATAGAAAATTCAGAATTTTAGTTGTTGAAATTCCACATCGACCGTAGATATGGTTAAAGTAAAACTTCAAGGTTAAAGCCAATCTTTCTCTTTACATGTTAGTATTTTAAGTTGAGTTAGGCTCAAATCCAAATGTAATTTGGTATCAGGGCCTAGTCAATATTGGGTCACCATTGATTGTTAAAAATAAATAGTCTGATCTATGAATTCTTTTAGTGCAATTAACTTGACCTCATGAATTTTTCAGCACAACTTATTTTGCCCAGTGGCTTTCTTATTGTTGAAGTCCTACATCGATTATATATATGACTTCTTTATGAGCAAACTTTTGAAGTTAAGTTAGAATCAAACCCAAATTTAAGATTAGAATTGGATGATGGCTTGGTTGCTTTTGATTAGTGTTGAAGATTTAATAGGCTTTTAATTGGCTTCTAGCTCAACCGGCACCTGTTGTAGTCTCCAAAATGTTACTCTTCCTTACTTCTTGCACATTCCATGTAAAAACAAAAAGAGGTGTTAGGCCTTTGGGATGTTTGTTGAAACTTGAGTCCAAGTTGTTGTAACTCAGACTCATGCACAAACACAGATTGTGATGTTCGTTAGAGAGGGGAAAAAGGGAAATTAAAAAGGCGTTAGGTGGGGGATGTAGACTTCAAGTCTTGAGTGTTAGAATCATAGGAAAGGATAAGATAAAATAGAAATGGCACATATAGCATGCATGAATCTATTGCCATAGACTTTGTATCCGTTAGCTATAATTTGATCTTTGACCTGAGAGAGCATCATGGATATAGTAGGTACGGTGATATCATAAGATGTTATCCAATTTTGCATAACATGTTGTAGGTTGATAGACACAAGAGGAGAATACATGCAGCGGATAGGAGAGGATTGAAACTTTTATATTCAACAATAAAAGTCACTTTTCAACGTAAAAGAGATCAAGTTTTAAAGACATAACCATTATTTTACAAGAAAAATAAAGACTCAATAAACTCAATGTTCCTCCAAAAAGAACTCTAGTCACGGGATTTCAAAGATTATTTCTTTTTTAAGTTTTTAAATTTCTGAAAATTATTATTAAATCAATTCCAATTGGTTTCTTGTCCCCAGTACTAATAATGTAGCATAAGTAGGGAAAAATTGTTGTCACAAACATGTTCGATACAATTTATACTAAATAAAAAGACCCATTGATTTATGTAACCAAAATGAAGAGAGAAATGGATAAGATTTGTATAGACATGTATTTGACATGTAACCAAGATTTATAAAGAAAAATACCAAGATCCTCTTTGACATGTATTTGTATGGACAAAGAGCTCAGGCACAGCGCACTGCACCAGGACATGCAACTATTTTTTAATTTTCAAAGAAGCTTACACAAGCTCTTAATTTCTATCTCATTTTTATAAAAATTCTAGTCTCATTTACATATAAATTTTATTGTTATAAACTCATTTTTTTAATCAAGTTTTGTTATAAATTCAAAGTAAAAGCACCAATACAATTGAGCAGAAATAAATAAAAAATAAATGGGACAATTACGTAATGGGCTATAACAGAATTGTAAAAATAACAACCATGTTGGTCTTGTATTGGGCCTGAAAAAGATTATTAAACATTTCAGCAAATCCAATAGATATTGGACATGACCCTCATCATTAAAAGATAAAATACAAATAACAAATAAAAGTAAACAAAAATAAAATTTGCTAATAAAAGGAATCCAATAGTTAGAGAGATATATGTTTATGTAAGCACTAGGCATGTGGGGGATTATGGATAAAAAGGCAAAGGATGTCATCATTCATAAAAGCCAGGAATTAGGGGATAAAAATGAAATCAGCAATTGCAAATGGGTCTCCACTGTTTGCTCAATTAATGATTACTTGTTTAATGTTAAATACATGCATACTCCAAACAAAGCGTGGAGAACCAGATTATGAGTCACAATCCTTCAACCACCAGCAAAATGTTAGTAATCAGAATAGTGAGACAAAAAAAAATAAAATGAATAAGCAGTGATGGAAGGTAATCTTGTTGCTTAAATGTCATTTTTAGTGTCAGTGAAGAGACTTCAAGCTCGAAGGTAGTCCCACATAAAAATGCCTATGATCCATATTTTCTTTTAGCATGTAACTTTTTAACATTATAATATTAACATAATATTTAACTTAGGTGATGTGTTAAAATCTAGGATTCTAATCCATAAAATATGACACTGACAGCTATATTCGTGTAACCAAATTTGTAGTTGTTGTGGATTGTAATTCGGAAAGATTTCCTAAAGATCTGCTCTAACAGATTGCTTCCATAATTAATTAAAAAGTAATATCATTTTACTATTATCCTATCATTTTGATAAGATAATACACTAGATTACATGATTTTATCAATCCTAAGATAATTCTCATCATATAAGATGGCAACCCCAGGTACAAAAACTCTTCTCGCACCTGCTTACTCCTTTACTAATTTAAATATCCGTGTCTTTTTGCGTACACTTTCGTTTTGTATTCTTTCATGATTCAGGTAACAATAGTAGTTGAACCATTGGTTCTTAGATAGCTAACATGTAGGATCTTGAAATGATTCCATATTCAGATATAGTATTTTTTTTTTTTTTTTAAATCTCTACTGAGAGTTTAAGCTAAATTTTTTTGGTACCCCCTTTGCACAACGTTGAACAATGTGTAGGGGAAGTCACTTGTCACAACTATATTACATTTGTTACCAAGGAATTAATAACTTAGATGAACATGGAGTTTATGGATATATTAAAAAAATAAGTTTAATTTTGTTGTAATCTACAGACTTACAAAGCCAGAGGTCTATGCATGTTTGCTGGAAGCAATGATGAGAGAAAGTCATTGGGTGGACATACTTGGTCCCCTTGCTTTCATTTTGAAACTTTTATTGTGTAGTGGACCACCAACTTTATTTTTTTCTATTATAAACCAAATTTTGTAGCTCTCTACTTCTTCCATTTCAGTTCACTTGAAATTGAACAATTCTTAGGCATCACAACAAAGAAACACAGAGAGAGAGAGAGAGAGAGAGATAGAGAGCAAAGGTGTGCTTGAGAATTATCTTTGATGGGTAATAACAGGTTCAAATTGTCAAATATGATACCAAATGCATGGTTCTACAAGCTCAGAGATATGAGCAAATCAAGGAAGCACAATGGCTCTCATGTTATGAAGAACAAAGTGACCTCACCAACAACATCCCAAAGGTCTCAGCCAAGATACTCTAATTATTTCTCCATTGAAACAAACAAGGATGGTAAGTTATTATACAACTCTCCCATTTACACTAAACACTCAGACAACATATTCATTGATTCACCAAGAATGTCATCCAAGAGAAGGACTAAGAGAAAAACCATTTATAAGCCTTCTCCAACACTTGTCTCTTCACCAGTCATAGACACTTGTAGCTGTCATTCCTCAAAAAATTGGATTAAACCAAACCAAACTCAGTCTCATGACTATTATTTCTCCTCCTTAGACACTTCTTCTGAATCAAACCTTCATGAATATGTTTCATCTGAGTCTGAGTGTGATAAGTTCACTGTTCCTGACTTGCTTAATGGGCTAGCCTCTGAATGCAGTTGTAGAGTTAGCTCTTCCACTAATGACATCATCATTGACATGAAAAATGAGCCCTTCATTGGAACTTCTGAAAATCTTGATGGGTTTCAGACAATTTCACAGTTAGGCCTTGCTCCAATATTGACAAAACCAGTTAGGCTTGATGATAAGATCATTGAAGCCACTGAGTTGAGAAGATCAAATAAATTTGATGAGCTAAAGACTCATCAATCTCTATCCGTCAAAATTAGAAAAGAGGAAATGAATAGAACCAAGAAAGAGAGAAAAACCAGTCCACTAGCTAGAATTTCCTCTGCTAATTCTACAGGTATAAGACTAAGAGTCAATTCTCCAAAACTTGCGAGCAAGAAGGTTCAAGCCTATGCAAGAAAGAGTGTGTCATCCAAAGCATGCAAAGCCTCAACGAATGCAGGTTTTCCAGATGGATTTGCAGTTGTTAAGTCCTCATTTGATCCACAAAGAGACTTTAGAGAATCTATGATGGAGATGATTGTGGAGAACAATATCCGGGCATCAAGGGATTTGGAGAACTTACTTGCATGCTATCTTTCACTGAATTCTAGAGAATACCATGATCTCATTGTCAAAGCATTTGAGCAAATTTGGTATGACATGGCTCAAATCAGAATGTGAAGATCTTAATTAGATTATCTAATGCATGTGTATAGTTTTGTAAGTAACATTTTCTGTATCAACTTCTCTTCTGGACTTTAATATAAAGCTCTTTCAATCTTTGATGACTTGAAAAAAATGTAGTAACAACATGGAAGTTGCTGTCAAGAGTAAGTTATTTCTTCACTTGTTTTAAAACTAGTTATGGTTTTTGATTGTTAATAGTCTCCAGTTTATGATGCATTTTCTAGTTAAATCGCCTGATGAGTAACAAACTACTATAAAAATAAATAGATAAAGTAACAAAATATCTATATAATAAATTTTTATTAGAATTTTATCAATATTAAATGCTATCTTTTTTTAAAAAAAATTACTATATATTAATTTCTTATTATGTGTTATGAACGCATGTTAAAAAAGCTGATAAATAAATAATAAACAAATAAACTTTCTGAAAGGCCCTGCCACTTCCTTTTGTGGCTTTTGTTGTTCTGGTTTTTGGTTCTTTTATTGTCAGCTAAATGTCCCTCTCTGAAGATTTTAGTGTCTAAATTAAGAGTAGCTGCTTCAATTCAGTGTTGGAAGATAAAGTGTTTTAAATTCTTCGTTGCAACTTGCAGCCAAACAGCTCCACAAATGATCATAAAGCAAAGGCAGAAAACACTCCCAAGTACAGATACAATAAATGATACCATATAGATACGTGTTTTAGAAATGCCCATAAGTCATTATAAATACAACAAAATGCTAAAATTTATAAATTATTGTGATATTTCTAATTAACATTGGTATAAAAAGTTTTTAAAAATAAAAATAAAAATGTAATTATTGATATTTCTAATTAATGACCATATGTTTTTCTCATTTGTTTTTCCAACTTTTCTAATTAACTAGGCAATTTGACTCAAAATGTTTCAATATTTGTCATGGTGCCGTCCAATCAAATGATCGGAATCAGATTTATGTATGATCCCACAAGAATGCAAAAGTGGCATCAAACATAGAAGAAATACAACAACAGTGAATTTCTTGAATTTTTTAATAGTACAGTATTTTAAGTACCTGTTTAAAAACACGTTAAATAATTTATAAATGTAATCCAACATCAAAATTATAATTAGGAGTATTGAAGTATGAGTAATGTTTGTAACAAATAATTCAATTATTAAGGAAGCAAAGAAGCATACACACATGTCATGAATGAGGACAGTATACATTTTTCGGAAAAAAACATCAGCCATATTGTCAATCTAATAGTTGGGCAGTGTGAAGGGACTTGACTATGTTGCAATAATGTTTGAATTTCAGGTTTTCAATCAAAGGTTCTCATAATGTTGCTGCTTATTCTATTCATAGTTCTCTAAGACGTGAAACTGTGCATATGTTCATAGCCCTGGGCTTTCCCCAAAAACTATATGCCAATTATTGAGATTGGTACTGATAGGTTTAACTTTTACATAGTCAACCTTTCAGTAAATATATTTTCCTCATAAATTAAGATAGATATTTATTAATAAAACTTATAAATTTTTTCTACTTTTCATTCAATATAATTTAATCTTCCTCTAAATTATTTTTTAAACTGATATTTTTCTCAAATCTTTCTATCTCTCAACTTATATTTTTAATACATCTATATTTATATACTATTTAAACTGAAACAATCCCTACAACTTATATAAATTAATTATTTTAGAATTATATATATATATATATATATATATATATATTTGTGTCCATATATCCGTGTGTGTTAGCTTCGGTGTCTTTGTTAAAATTGGTACACTACTTTGGATGCAGTGAAAATGCATTTTACAGGTGCTGCCAAAATTCAATGAACTCGTATACATGTTTTATCATCAAAATCAGTGCCAATGGAGAGCAATGGAACATGTCCAAACCGAAGATATTGCTTGAGTTATTGTAATTAAAGACTATATGCTAATGGGCAGTGTTCAATTAAAGGAAAAGGAACCAAAGTTCATCACATCATGAGGACCACAAAATCATCACAACACAGGCTGGTAGTAGAAATAATAATCAAAGGGAAAGGAAGGACCACGTTAGAGTTGAGGGAAAAAAAAAGACCACTTAGCCAACTAGACATTATTTCTGGATGAAACCTGCCCATAATTGCACAGTTGATCAGTCTCTTTAATTTATTTTTCTTTGATAAAAGTTGATCAGTCTCTTTACATACCCAAATGGTTTCAGGTCATGTTTCTTTCAAAAATCTAGTAGAGACAGAAAGTTTAGATTCTATATAGCCTCAAATCCACCTCTATTTGTAGTCCTGTGTGACAAGTTTATGACAGAAAAATTGAAGTCAACCTCAATGCAACCCTTCAAATATAAAATATGTTCACTACAATGCCTACTAACAGACTTCAGAACAGTATAATTCTACCTAGATCCATTATTATTAAACTTCATGATCAAGGGATAATAATGAGCATTATAATTTTAATTCATTATTCAATTATAGCCTTATAAATAATGGTAAATGTTGTATTAAGCAAATGAGACACCGGTCATGATATTGCTCAACATCTTTGATGATAAGGATTCACTATTCATAGATGGGGTTCATTATCATAATTCTCATTTTTACCATAAGTAAATTCTTGGAGTAGACCAAAAGGGTCAAACATGCATGCTATTTTGGATTGAATATTGATGGGTTTTTTCTTTTCAGGCAATTGCCATAACGTCCAGGGGGCACCCTGAGTCTTGTTTGGATGCTTAGCCAGATTTGGCTATTATATCACATCCAACACATCAATAATGGATTGGTATGGACAAAATGCCTGTCACTATAAAATTGCATGTATGCTTTGTGGTGTTGACCAAGTAATGTTCTACTTGTTCTTTGTGTGTATGGGCTAGGACATATAGGGACAAACAGTGATATAATTTTTACATTTTGCATTGCGGTTTTTTCTACCTACACCATAATTTATTTTTGTATTTTTCAAAAATAAAATTCTAAAAGATATTAATGACTTTCCGGCTTTCAGAATTTTATTTCTAAAAGGGAAGAGTAAAAAAGAGCCCAATAATATATATACTTCTTTTTTTCCCTTGAATAGGTTAATATAGATTGACCAAAAGAAAAAGTTAACCTATAGTCTTGGCCACGTTTCTTGCTCAAAACAAATTAAGAATTTTCATAATTTTGTCATGTGAAAGTCAGAGTCTATTCCTTTTTAAAAATGTTAAACAAATAAGTCCTATTAAAATTTATAAATATATACAAGAGAAATAAACATTGAGTCATAAAATTTCAGTATGAGAAGATTCACATAATTATATATCAATCTAGGTAAAGTCAATTTAGTTTTTTTTAATTAATATATTTATATGAATAATAATAAAAATATCATCTTATTTTTATTTAATCTATTTTTCTATTACTTCATTCATAAATTTTTAAAAACAGAGAATAAAATAAGGATAAAACAACCTTTTTATAACTGCGAATCAAAATATATTAAAAATTAAAATTTTAAGTTCACATTATCCGCGCTAATTAGGCAACATAAAAAATATTAATCAAAACTAAAACTTATAATCATAATTTGTTTATTACTTACTATATCTATCATTTTTTTTTTTCTTTTTCCCGTCTCTCTTTTCATTTAGGGCCTATGCACCTCAAGCAGTGTAAAATGATCATTCAAAACTAAATGGATGCAAATAAATAGCGCACATAATCATATTCAATGCTAACCATAAATAGCACACATAATCATATTCATTGCTGACCATAAATAGCGCACATTATCATATTCAAAAGCATGCAGGTCGGTTTATGGCCTAACTAGTCAAACCAACCACAAGCACAATGAATATTACAATGAATCTTAATATAGATATAGTAGTGCATGCTGGTCCATCTTAATTGAAATGACTTGATTCATCTCAATAAAAATAATTTATTTTTTTTACCAACACAACCATATACATCTATTTACACTCATTTGAACCCAAACACCCTAATAATACATCTGTTTAGGTGTATCTCTGGCCAACCTTGAAAATGAACTTTTCATGAAATAGTACTAATTATTCGTTGAAAGTTTGATACCCAACATCACATCAACCTCATAATTTTCTCTAGTCCATGACACATAAGATATCCATTTTCTTTTTCTCTTGAATTTCAATCCTCAAGAGACAGCAATTTTTAAGTTTTCTTAGCTCTTAAGTTCTGTCTTGCTACTCCTTGAAAAGCACCACATAGTGGCTGTGGTTTTTTGTTGGTAACTTCATAAGGTGTCTGAAATCCAATGTTTTCAACAGCTCCTACTGTCTTGAATAACCGTCTTTTGTTCACTTCCTCAACCAGTGATCTGTGTAGTAATTGGCTTCTCATGTCAATTAGTGACTTGTTCCTTGTTAATCTACGATTATCTATCACCCTTTTAATAGTTGAAGGTGCTTGTGGTCCTGGTAAAACTTTGCAATGGTTCAAAGTGATGGGGTCTTCCCCTGGAGAAAATCTTGTACACTTGTGAATCTTAATGATGGGATGTTTATCTTTTCTTGTAGAAGCCACATTGTGCTCTTGGTCATCCACTGAACAAAAGTTCAAGTTGGAATAAGTCCCATGTGAAGAGCATCGTGAACTGGCATCATCAAGCATATCATCTGCAATAGTGGGTTGTCAAGGTTAATAAGAAAATAAAATGGGTCAAAACAACAATGTTCCTTTTCCACTATATGATTGTTCTTATATAACATTAGATTTTCATGGGGACTTCTTTACAAATTCATGGCAAAGATGAAAATGGAATAAGAGGGAAGCTAAGTGAAGACATGTACTAAGGATTCCCTCATAATACCAAAAGCAAATTAAACTAACAACTCATTACTAGTTATGTCCTGAAGGACACTATTGTTTCATGGCAATCTTAGGTAATTTCCCACATTTAGCCAGGGGAATAGCTTAGGGCCTATTTGGTTTGGAAAAATATTTTTTGTTTCATTTTTATTTTTACATAATTATTACAAAGATGCAACATTGTCTTCACTTTATTTCTTATTTTTAAAGATTTGAACAAGAAACAATAACAAACTTGTTTTCATGTTTCATACGTAAATATTTGAAAACAGGAATCAAAGTAAAATCAAGGTTCCAATTTTGTAATTATTTGTGAAAAACAGAAAACATTTTCTCAAAACAAATATGATCTTAAGAAGCTTGCCACTCAGTCATTAAAGTACACTGACGAAAAAGGACTTCCATAGTAGTGGTAAGGGACAAAGGAGACATACCATGGAGCCAATAATATCCATTTGATAAGTCATCAGCTCTATTGACTGGACCTGATATTGATTCTTGGGATGATGAACAAGAAGAGAAAGAGTGGAAATGATGACGTGGACCTTCATCCTCATCATCATCTTGATAACTAAATGTATGGCAGGTGTCTGAATAGTTACTATTCCTCCTATTTGGCAGAAGCACAGATAACTCTCCTTCAATCATATTTGCAATATCAGAAGGCTCCAAATCTGTGATCTCCAATTCTTTAACCATCTCCATTGCAACATCAATAGGAGTGTCTGTGTAAATGTCAAATGGAAAATATACATTCCTACAAGAACCTGCAGGAAAAGGAAGAAGAAAAGTTTTGTTGTTACTTGCTTCAATTAATTAAGGACAAGTTCATTTACTAAACAAAAGTATATGATGCTGTGGTGAAATTGCAAGAAAATGAATTCAGAGAACTTAAAAAAAAAATAAATTATAAATATAATGAATCAAAGAGGACATTGAGTGGCATGAAAATATTCGATACCATCCTTTTCAGAAATTTTCACTTTGAGAAAGATAGTATCATCATCCGGATTCAGCTTCCCAGTTATTGACATTTCAGTCCTACTTAAATCATCACTCAGTTGAAGTTTTTCCATCTCACTGTAATTCAAAAATGGTTTCAAAATTCCAATTCTTGACACAGATGTTGCATCATCAGACACAAGAAATGGATCATGCAATAATTCTTTTGCTGATGGTCTCTTTGATGCAGCTACAAGACATTTGCCAATAAACTTTTGTGCTTCTGCATCTTCAATCCGGAAAAGTGCTGCTGGTAGCTTCCCCTGAACATAAGAAGGAAAAATTTATATATATATAATATCCTAGATTTACTGATATTTTTAAACCTTAAACAAGGATCTGAATGTACCGATGTCACTTTCTTGTATATTTGCGCAGGGTTAGTACATTCACTATATGGATAATCAGATGTAAGCATTTCTAAAACACACATGCCAAATGAGTACACATCAACAAGTTCATTGTATTCTTCCTCATACAATTCTGGTGCCATGAACTCGGGGGTGCCTAGCACAAAGGAGAAAGATTTAACAGGCAACAATTAGCATGGCTCAATACATGCAACACTCGTTGGTAAAAAAATAATAAATACCTATAACACTGTGGGCTGGCAGTGAACCATGGAGAATTGCTGCTAGACCAAGGTCACCAACTTTCACTTGTCCAAGATGGCCATTGACAAATATGTTATCACATTTGAGGTCCCTATGAATTACTGGAGGATCATGTTCGTGTAGATAAACAAGACCCTGTAGGATTTGGCGTGCCCAACTCTTTATTGCTTGTACGCCTATGTGCTTGTATTTCTTCCTGTATCTGCACAAGTCACAAACCTATCAATTTATCAACCATAAAATCAGTCAGAAAGGTGTTACATACATTTCATACTCAAGGACTGCCACCCAAATCAACTGATCCTAAGAGCTCATGATTATGCTTTCGTTGTTCGTCTGACCTCTGATAAGAGTTCATTCAGGAAGACTGGTTGAAAGTTTTAATAATGTCCCTTGTATCTAACAAAATCCATTTGAAGACTTTTAGTCCTAATTTGAGTTGGAATGATCCCCAAGTGAAAGAATTACTAGGTAAGAGCCACAAATTCATTTTTAATTTTTTTATAGCTCCTTAAAGATATGTTGATGGTGTAGCTTATTATAAAAAAATAAAACAAATCCCAGAAATTTAGCATTACCATATGTGCATACCAGGAAACTACATATGCCTCCTAGTCCTAACTCATTAACATAGAGTTAAACAGAATAATTACATACTAAAATGCTAGGATTAAATGAAAAGAGGAATGCAATTATAGTCTGGGGAAATCAGATGTTGTACTCCATTTCAAAGGAACTACAAAATGGGACTTAAGCATAGTCTAATTTATAGTTAGAAAGGAAGTTACTCTCTCAGTGTCCCTGAAGTAAACATTTCTGTAATGAAGTTGAAGGTCTTGTTCTCAACATCAATCCAAGAGGTGTAGAATCTCATTATGGATTGGTGCTTGAGGGTACTGAGAAGATGAACCTCTAAATAAAGCCGCTCCAAGTCCTCCGGTTTGCGAAGAGCCTCATTGAGCTTGACCTGATTCCATGCTACCTCTATTCCAAGGACCCGATCAATTGCTTTATACACAGTCTTCATTGCACCTTTTCCAAGAATATCTCCAACCTGATCAGATAGAACACAGAAATTTGGTCACATTAAGTCAACTGTGTGATGATGGCATCCTAATTTCCTATTCAAATTTCCTATGCATGCAAATTTGCAACAACTCCCCAGTATCAATCAGATTGATCCATAATAATAGAAGTTCAACCCCAAAGGATTCTGCTTTTAAATATTGGGACATGAACCATACCCAAATTTTATTAGACACAAATAAGCCAAAGATAAGTCATAATCGATAACATCTCTAATCACTTTGCATTTGATTAGGCCTGAGAATTTCGAATCAGTTCTTTCTTCCAACTATCTAGGAGTTCACTAAATCTACTAAACAGAATCGAATGGCTCAGTCAACTCACCAAGACTAACAAAAACTGTTAAGAAGTCGTTTCCACACACACACACAAAACTACCTTTTCCCATTCAAGTAACACCCAAAAAATCCAGATTCAAATAAAATAAGAATTGCCACAACAAATTAAAAAACAAAACATCAAAAATTACACAATTTAGAACTCACCCGGGCATATCGACCAGTTGGGTCGGTTTCCATATAACGATGCTCAGCTTTATCATCATCCTTATTCTTTTTATTGAAATACATGTTGGATTCTAAACTATATTATATATGTTCTAACTAAGTGCTATAATATAATTTGTACTGCAACTTTTGTGCAGAAAGAGTAGTAGAAAAAGAAAGAGCAAAAATTTAAAAATAAAAAAACAGAAATAGTTTGTGGTATCATCTAAGATTGTAGAGTCCTAAATCCGAGGCTTTCCCTCATGATATACGTGGGAGAAGACCCCAAAAAATAGCCAGAAAAGCCTTGAGTAATCAATACTCTGCATTATCCTACCCATCTTTACACCAACCACGCATGTAAAGGGATCATAGTCCTTAGCAACCATTTGATTTTGTTTTGTTTTGTTTTGTTTTTCTTGTTTTTTTTTTTAAAACCAAAAAGTGCAGAGAGAGAGAGAGAGAGAGTGGAGGCTGCAAAGATTTGACAGATGAGTAGAAGGGAATAAACGGATAATAATTTTGCTATGAAACTGACAGGTTCATGTCACTGCCCTTTATGTTGTTGAGAATTTTGAAGGCATATATGGCACGTGTGGCTTTTGTTAAGGGTCAGTTTTGGACATTCCCAAGGCGCGAGTGGAAGTGATTGTGGTAGCTGTAGATAGAGAGAACTAGAAGCAGTGCACGGAACTCGAAGAATCTGCGGCCACACTTTGGTATAAGCATTTGTGGAAAAAAGTGGAACAAGTTCTAAACAAAACAAAAACAGAACTTGGTAAAAAGAACAAAACCCAGAAAGGGAAGCAGAAGCTTAAACGTGGGAGATGATAAAAAAATGAACTTTTTGAAATGGGGTGGGTGAGGATCTGTGCAAGACTCAAGCTTTGTATATAAAAAAGAGAATTGAGAAAAAACTAGAACTTGTGGATATGTATATCAGGCTAGAGTGGACCACATTGTGATTGAGGTGGCAAAGTTAGATGGTTTGTGATTGTGTCATGTGTTTGGAGATGTCAAGGATTAAGGATGACAAGGTTGACTATGGGGACCTTCTGAGCTTCTGATAATAGGGCCATGAGGTAGGTTGTGATGTGTTACTGTTTCTCACTTTGTCATGTTTTATTGTCGTTTATATTGAGTGGATAATCTTCTAAATATGAAAATCTAGCTAGTTGATATTTTTCCATGTCTATCCAAATCCTAGTCCCCCCATTCCATCATGTGTTTTGAACTTTGGGTTTGAGAATTGTTAGATACATGGGTCATAATTGGTGCTGGTTGCAACTGAGTCCCTTGAGTAGTCTCTTTAATCTAATTCTTGTGGGCTATAGCATGAAAAACAAGTTAATCTTTTAATGTACTATCCTGGACCAGTGGTATTAGGTCACAATACTATATTAGCAAGTTAACATGCAGGGTAGCCAGTGTGCGGCACGTTATATAATACATGCATGATATACTGTAAAGTTTGATATAATACATGATACTGCATATAATTATATATATTTATTTTTAATTATACATGTATGTATGTATTTCAAAAACAGACTTTAAAACCAAAAGAGATAACAAAATGTTGTATATATATTTTTGTTATAAAATTTATAGGGAGAAGAGATAGTAGTGCTCCATTCTAAAGTAGATAAGTCATTGAATTTAAAGAATTGACATTTATTTCATCTAAAGAAGATAAATAGAAATTTGAACCAATAACTTATTAAATATGAGATTTTTATCTTGTTCTATTCAATATCTCTTATGCTGAATCAATAAGATGATATTTTTAATTTTTTAGTGAACCAAAATTTGGAACCTTGAAAACTTGTTACACCTGCTCTGAGTAAGATTTCTCCAGAGTATGACAAAAATTGGGTGTCATCATTTTGAGAGTCTATTGCTTCCTATTGTTGGAGGACTTATTGTATTTTAACATAAAGGAAATCACAATCACCAAAAGAAAAGCATAAAGGAAATCACAATCTAAGGCTGGTAAGCGCCACCCAGTCAAAAGATGAACAATAAGATATGAACCAATGATGAAATAGTTAAGTTGATAAAAAGGGGTCTTCAACGAATATCTTAAATTAGAGTAATCAGAGTACTCAACCTTTGTATATCTCTAGTTGCTTTCACTAATGAAGATTATTTAATGTCAATGGTCAAATGTAATAGTGTTTCTTTTCCAAATTTATTAATAGAGACTTTGGCAGCACAGGTGTCTCATCAGTGTTTAAATGAGATTTAGCTTATACTTATAACAAGTTCGTGCATTGTTTGACAAATATATATTTTTTCTATATTTTATGTTAACATAAAGGCTTCACTTTTTTACTAAAAGAATTGTCTGAAAATGTTTTCTACATTTTTCTCGTGTTGTTTGATATAGAAATTGTCTAAAATATTAGCGTGCGTGCATGAGCTTTAATTTAAATAAAGCAATTATAAAAAGTGACAAATGCTTCAACAATAGCATAAACTTTGGAATTGAAAAGTGAAATATCTTTTTGACGATTTTTAGGGATAACTTTAAGTTCTTGTTTGTTTGTGGTTGAATAAGTCAAGATTAATTTTTTTTTAAATCAATTAATAAGTGTTATAACCGTTGGATATAAAATGAACGGCTGTGATATCTGTTGCAGAAGCACTACGGCTGTAGAGAATCCGAATCTGAGAGGGAAGCGAATGAAATAATATTTGACTTAAAAGTAATAATAAAATAAAGGCAATATAAAGCCATTTTCTTTATAAATTTTGAATAAAAGAAATATAAAATTTACTATATTTCTAAATTTGATTTCGTTTATTATTCCTTTACCGATAGTGTAAATTGTAATTTCTCTGCATTGGGATTGGTCCATTTAAAATGATAATTTGTTAAAGAATAAATTATTAAAGTTATTGTAATTTTGTTTAACATTTGTTTTTATTTTTAACATGTAAAATTATTTATTAACTTATCATAAATATTTTTATTAATAATTTATTTTCATTTCATAATAAAGTCAATTAATTTAATCTTTTTTTAGACACTGTTAATTTTAGGAAAGATTTTGTTAATATAGATTTTGAAAAAAAAATTATTAAAACAATATTTATTACATGGTATTGTTAATGTCATTCTATAGACAATATGAGAACTATTTGGAAATTTCATAAGAAATTTTTATATTTTTCAATAAATTTTATAACATTATAAACACTAATAATATAAGAATTTAATAAATAGATACCTAATTAAGCTATTTAGCATCTGTATGCATCTATTAAAGAATCAAATTCTTTTACATAGCATATTATGTCGGTTAGTGTATATTTTATACTTGTTATAATTCTTTCAAATTTTTTAATTTTGAAAATAAATCCTTCTCCCGTTCCTAGCTACCTTCTACAAGTATAATGTTATTATTAGGTAAATTTAATTGTTTTAAAATATATTGAGATATTGTCATTAATCATATTTTTAGAAAATATATTTTTTGTGCTAATTCTTTAGTTAAATTTATTGTACTAAAATAGATAAATTTCATTTTTTCAAGACATCTTCCATAGTGGTAAATAATTATAAATAAAATATTTCTAATTAAAAGAGAAATGATGAGAGGAGAAACTTATTTTTAAGAAAAAAAAATTCACTTTAAATTAACTAATTAATAATTTCTTTATTTATTTTTATGAAAAAAATATTGATAATTATTTTTTGAGGGGCCTACAACAAGTACTTGAGGCTAAGCCCGGCCTTTCGTATGAATTCTTATAAAAATTATCAGTGATATGAATTTTTCTCACCTTGAACATTAAAGTAAACAAGTAACATCATAATTACTGTAAAATAGAAAAGTAGTTAACGTTGTTTAGAAGAAATCAAAACTTCATCATATGTAACACATGAAAATTTGATATTTTTAAAATACTTGTAAAATATATGGTTTAGTGCATTTCACACGAGGAATGAACTACCTAAAAAATATTTTAAGTTTCAAGGCAAAATGTAGCAACGGCGAAGCAAAAGAAAAAACAGAGTCTACAAATAGTCAAAAAATGACCATATTTTAGTAATGAATATAAAATTTGTTAATTATTAGTGACGAACTTTTTTATATCATCACTAATATTATTAATAATAATAACTTAATTAAAAATCATTGTTAATAATAAAAATATATTAATTATAAATAATTTAATTATATATAATATTAATGTTTAAGAAATAATTTTTAAAATATTAATGTTTAAGAGTAGTTTTAAAATAAACGGCTTAAAAGAGTATAAAAATGACTTTATAATTTTGTTTTTTTTTAACAATGTTTAATGGGTTTTTTTTTTTTACATCAAATATTTAATTATCTGTAAAATATATTATTTTAAAATTTATTAATAAAATAAAAAATATTATAACATTTTCCACACGAAATATCATATTTTTGTGTGAGAAAGGTCTATCATAAAGCTCACAAAATATATTATTTTTCAGTCATATAAAATAAAATGTAAAATAAAATATTTAAAAAATAATTTTTTTCCATTAAAACAAACAAGTAAACAAGCTTGATGAAATTGGTTAATTTTATAGTTGTTATCTATATTTTCAGAGAGCAAATTCTTTTTCCAGACACTTTAGCAATGTTGTAACAGCTGGAATGAAGATTTATAAGCTTTGGATTTGGTTGTATCACTCTTTTAAAAGAGTTGTTCTCCAGATTTGCTTAAGTGTTTATTTGTTGTAGTGTTTGCCTTTGACAGAATCCACTTGATTGATTACTTTGGTCTTCTAGTTCTTTAAAACACTGCATAGAAAAACATGTAAACAAGTTGTCATATATTTCTGAGTATTTGAATAAAGTTTAACAATGTCTTATGAAGCAGTTCTTCCAACCCAAGTAACATCATAATTATTGTAAAATAGAAAAATAGTTAATATTATTTAGAAGAAATCAAAACTTCATCATATGTAACACATGAAACTCTGATATTTTAAAATATATATGAAATACATGGTTTAGTGCATTTCATACAAGGAATGAACTACCTAAGAAATATTCAAAGTTCCTAGGCAAAATGTAGCAATGGAGAAATACAAGAAAAAACAGAGTCTAATAGCCAAGAGGGGCACTCAAAGAAGCCCTAGCTTCCATTACTTGTGCCTCTTGTTGAATTATACTCTCCAAAACAGCTTCAGAAGATGCCACTTGATGCTTAAGATCCTTCACATGCTGAGTCAAAATGCGTTTTGAGTCCAATAATTTCTGCAATGCATCTTCAGATGCTTGTAAACTAGGAAACAAGGCACGTCTTTCAACACCATCTAACCAATTCTTATCAAAACAAAACTTCTCATGTCTTGCATTAACTCCATAAAGTTAGAGTGCTTTGACCCTAACACTTCCAAAACACTGTGTGTTTGGAGGAATTTCAGTAGCTCAGCCAGGCAAGTGTAGGCATAACCTTTGTATTTGTTACTAAATGCATTGTCTTTTAAACGAAGAGAAGTATGCTTTGCCAAAAATTCAGTCAACAGAGTCATGTTCTCAGAAGCCAAATACTTGTTGGAGACCAGTTGCTCAAGTTCACTTTTGAGAGAAGCAAAACTCACATCATCCATGGTTTGAGAAGGGCTCCCTAAAAGTTAATCAAAGAGTAATTAAGCATGACCACAAAAAATATACTTAATGTTTTTAGTTTTTATAAATATGACGAAATTTAATTCTAATGTTTTTGAAAAAATTGTTGGTTTTGATTTTCATAAATTTTAATTTTTATAAAAATGATCCTTTCCGTCACTACATTATGATAAGGCATATTTCTAATCATTTCATATCAACAACTATTCTGAGCAGCAAGTGATATAATATACTTAAATGCATGACACATTAAGTGTCCAAGACTATTTTTAAAAGTTAAAATTTATGAGACTAAAATCAACAATTTTTTAAGAGACTAAGCTAAATTTAACCATATTTACAGATACTAAAACTACACTTTCTATAAAAAAAAAATTAGTAAAATAAAAGGGGCAAAAGTACCTTCAAATGGCACTGAAAGAGACTTGGATACAACATTGGAAGGGATGCCAGGAAAGGGATTAGAATCTGAAACTCTTATGCCATCATTGTTAAGAAACAGTTCCTCAACCATTGAGCTTACTTTCATGGAAGCATCACCGTTCAAACAAACTAAACGAAAGAGGGGGGGGGGGGGGGGGGAAGAAAGAGTTCAAAATCAAAGCACAAATTTTATAACATAAAAAAAGAAAGTGGATGTTATAACATAAAAAAAAAAAGTGGATGCATGACCTGGATCATGAGAGTTAGTGAGGGCAAGCGCTATCTCTGAAGTTTCTTGAGCAGAGGGAGGCACAACTAAAACAGATTGTATGCCCATTTGGCCATCTCCATGTTCCTAAAAGGATTCAAATAAGCAAATGTTGCATCATCTAAAAAGTTTTATCTTTACATAGTCATCCTCATTATATTCATTAGTACATTATATTCGTCCTCATTTTCATTGAAATTAATGAATTAGGAACATTACAATATTACTTTTAAGCACACAAACACATTTGAAAGCTTGACTAAATATAGTAAACTTACATGTGGATATGTTTCACCCTTAGAAGCAACTGATGGACCTAATGATGAACTAACTAGTTCTGAACGAGTTGATGACGTTATTGACTTGAAATTAGCTAATGTATTTCCTTCTTCAACACTTCTCTTAATACCCTTCACATAATCATAAAATTGTTTAAATTCAGAGCATTCTTTCACTCTTATATTGAATATAAACAGTAAAATACTTTTTGTAAAGGAGATAGTAATGGTCCTAGTGATGTGTTCCTTATTTCTGACTTCATCAGTAGAGTTGCTGTTATATTTTTCCCTGACATAGAACCTTCTTGAGTACTTTGGTTCTCTCTGTCTTTCAAACACTGTATACCAAAAAAAAAAAAAAAGTAAACAAGTTACAATATATTTCTAAGGAAAATATTTAAGGTACTTTTCATTTCCTGTCAAGTTTTTTTAGCATCATGTACATAGTTAGGTGGTGGCATTCCATTATTTCCTTGAGGAACTTCAAAACCAATATCAGTTTCTCCAAGGGGCTGTTGTTCTTTCATTGAAGAATGTTCTTCCATTGGTGTTTCATTGAAGAATGTTCTCCCATAGTTAGGCGATGCTACTATCATGGCATTGGCTGATGTTGTTCCTACTTCAAAATTTCTCTCAACACCCTGCATGTAAAAAATTATATATTAAGGTTTGGAGCATATTTATATTCTTATGCTGATAGAAATAAAAAGTATAACAAGGGAATGCCTCTTGTATAGGAGGAAGCAATTGTCTGGGTGATGTGTGCCCTTTTTCTGAATCCATGAATAAAGTTGTTGTAATAGTTTGCTTTGATACAAAATCCTCTTGATTACTTTGGTCCTCTATTTCTTTAAGACACTGTATACCAAAAAAATGTGAATAAGTTGTAGTATATTCCTAAGAGGTATTCCAAGTACTATTCATTTCATGTGAAGTTTTAGAGCATTATATGCATATTTAGGTGGTTACATTATTTCCTTGAGAAATTTTAAAGGTGGTATCAGTTAGTCCAATGGCCTGGTTTTGGTTCATCAAGCATGGTTCTCCTGTTGATTGTTCATCCAACAACACCTAAATGAGTGCAGAAGCATTAGTCTTGAGCTATTAGTTATCTCCAATACTAAGAATACCTTAATAGTATACTTACATCTGAATGTGCTTCATGCCATTTAATTGGTGATGTTGTTGCCGATGGTATCTTTAAACTTGAATCTTCATCAACAATTTCATGCTTTATCTCTGCAATGGATTGATTCGTATTGACTTCTGAAGAAGCCAACTCACTTTGTGAAGTTGCTTGGACTTCCAGCTCACCTTCGATGTCTTCAGTGATTTTTGTAGTTTGACTTTCATTGCTAGGATCTTGGATTATTGAGTCTTTAAGATCTTGAGCAATGCCTTTTATTATTTCCCAAGAATAACAACCTTCCACAATATTTGTAACAAAATATTAAAGATTAATAACTCTTTAAGAGATTAACAACTCTTTTAAAAAACAAATACAATGTATACCTCCGTAGACATAGCGAAAAACTGTGTTCTCCAACTGATCGGACTCTATCGTTGAAGTCAAAGAGAGATTTGGACAACTCTGCACCCAAAGATGTGTATTCTCCAATTCAATCCCCTGGCTGAGGCTGAAGATTATTAGTTTTACAAATACTAAAAGTCTTAGCTGTGGAAACTCAACTTTTTGATCAGCTCTGAATACTTCCTTTAACTCAGACGCTTCTTTTATTATCAGAACTTGAAGCCATGGAAGCTCTTTAGAAGTGGAGAAAGGAAAGAGATATGTTAATTTGTTGCATTTTTCGACCACTATCTCTCCTAGCTTTGGGAAAGACATTTCCTGATTTTCTGCATTCTCTTCAATGATCTGCTTTAATTCTTTACATTCTCTTATAATTAGAATCCGCAACTGTGGTAAGCATCTTGAAATAGAAGCAGTGAAGATTACTTCTAATTTCTCACATTGCACAATAATTAGGTCCATAAGGTTTTGGAGGATAAAAGAATTCTTAGGACCTTCAAAAAGATAGGTCACACGAGGCTGATCTTCCAACCGAATGTTTTCCCACCCTAAATTTGTTTCTTGTCCAATTATTTCATTGAAACAACAAATGTTTTCAATTTTGGGGCCATGGAAACAGAGATTTTTCAAAGAGAGAAGATGCTTCACGTTCCCACTCAACTCCTGCAATAAATAAATAAATAAATAAATAAATAAATAAAGTCAAACGTGAAAAAACAAGATTCCATTAATAATTTCAAAATATTTCAAATTAACACTAATAAAAAAAGATATCACTAATAGTTATGTACTAACCCCATTTTTAAAATAACATCTCATTTTGAATTTTAGCCATGTTTGATAACACTAGCTTTTATTTTATTTAGGAACTTATAGCTTTTTTTTTTTTAAAATAAGCAAGTAGAATTATTTGATAACCACAAAAAAAAATAAATTATAATTTTTTGAAATTTAACGTTTCAAAAGCCCATTAAAATAGTAGTAATATTATATAGCTTTCAACAATTTTATCTCCTTTTTAATCTTAACGATTTTAAATGAATTATACATAATTACATCTTAAATATTTCTCCTCATTTAAGTTTAATATTATATTTATAATACTAAATGTCTTAGTCATTGGATATATTTCCGTTACAAGTTTTGAGTTAACTTTTAAAAAATCAGTTCTAAAGTATAAGAATTTTAACTAGTTACAACAACAAAGTCGTTTTTTATTAGGTGAAATTAGTTAGATGGATTAAATGATGTTACAATGTTCGTATTTATTAAAAAAAACTGAATCTTTAACGTAATAATAATTGGATTAAAATCAATGATCAAATTAAAGATAAATGGAAGGAAGGGTACCTTAACAGATGTGTTACTCAAAGAAAGGGTGAAATCGCCAATAGATTTAATGCTAATATGGGAACATCCGTTGTGTTCAAACTTCTTCAAAGGTGGCAATGTTGTGCTATAGTTTTTGGAGCAAATGCCTATTAAACTTGGCAGATCATGTAAGCGGAGACTTTCCAAGACGTGAAGATCAAGGTTTCTTTTATTATGATTCTGATGATCATCAACCCAACATCCGAATATATATTCCAATTGCCTACAACCTTTCACATAGATCTCTTTCAATTTTGGAAAACCATAAATCAAATCACTGTCACCAAGGTCATCTGTAATGTCTACTATTATGTGCTGTAATTCGTCGCAGTCCTGAATTCTCAGAGTTTCCAACATCACTGGAGCAATGGAGAAGATAAATACAGATTTGATCTTTGAAAAATTTTGTAGGTCAATTTCTTTAATTTTGCGCAGGATCTGTGGTTGCTCCGAAAGACATTGAGCACGTTGCCAAAGATGAAGATAGTCAAAGTTTGACACCTACAATGTAATACCAAAAAAAATTCTTAAATCAAATCAAACATTATCTCTTTTGCATGGAACTCAAGGAGATGGGAATGTATGTAAAACTTTTATCTTATACAAATGCTAAAGATAGGCCTAAATTGATAAAAATCCGTAATTTAATGCTCCAAAACTTTTGAGCCTTTGGAATTTGGTTGTGCATATAGGCTATAAACATAAGATACAAGTACGTAAAAGATAACACAAAGTTAAGAGGGTTACCGATGAGATTGAACAATCTTGCAATGGTTCATTGGTAGTACTTTTGGTACTCTTGACTTTGCGTCTGCATTTATGAGGATAACACATATGGATCCAAGGAGAAATATTGCATTTCTTGCGATTTGATTCTACTTTTTCCATGGAATCGTTTTTACAGGATGACCCTGACAAACAAATCGAACAACAACATTTTGGAAAAATATCAATGAAATTTGGCAAGTCAGAGAAGTACACCTTTTTCAGTGAGCCAAGTATGATATCCTACTTGCATGTTCATGTTGGTATTGATGAAATATGTATTTCAGCGCACCACAATCACGTGTTATGATAGTTTCTAGCAATGGAACAACTTGAGTAGAAAGAGTTGGAAGTATATATTCCAATTGGGGACACTCGATAATATAAAGAGTTTTCAGATTTGGAAACATTGAGGCACAACTCTTGTTATCATTCTCACCATCAACAATCTCTTCCCTTCTATCTTCATTTACTCTTTCATCTGCTATTATGTTTTTTAGTTTCTCACAATCATGTATGGACAGTTTCTCCAAAAGCAAGAGCCTTTGACAAGTTGACAATTGAAATAGGGATACCAATTTTGGGCAATTGTACAATTCAATGGTCTTAAGATAGCAGAGGTTTAGCTTGCTCTTAAACAATATGCTTCTCAAATTTATACAATCTGAGATATCTAGACTCTGTAAATTGTTTAGAAAGTCAAAGGGAAAGCGACCATTGCATAGTTCTTCGAAATTGTCCATGGCTCTAAGTCGTAGCTCAATCAACTTGGAGAAGAAACTTCGTCTATGAGAATCAATACGTGTAGTGTCAATGAGACACCGCAATTGTGGACTCTCCCATAAATAAAGCTCGATTAGGTCATTCATACCTCTATCCATGGGAACAATATCAGGTATGAGATTTCTCCATTCCCCCTCGATTTTTCCCAGATGAAGAAGTTCGGTTGTTTGCACCAAATGATTGAATGTCACTTCTGAGAAAATAGCATCAATCTTCGGAAAGGCCACACATGTTGACAACGATTCATCCACCAGATATTCACTCATAATGTACCTTTGCAATGCAGGAAAGGTTATTTTCTCATGCATTGCCGAAGTATCAAACGTGAGATCCGTACCAACAATGTACAATTCTTCAAGTAATGAGCACTTTTCAATCACTTTAATTGAATTAAAATTTCCAACAATGCCACCTCTTAACCTCAACACTCTAAATTTCTCCAGTTTTGCAATTTCACGGGGTAATTCATCCATACGGCACCGAACCAAATCAAGAGTCTCAAGATTTTGTATGTTTTTCAGAACAGAGAAGTCTTCTAAGCGTAACCTTTCAAGGATTAGAGACCGAATATTTGTCAATGATTGGAATGACTGTGGTAATGATAGAGAAACATATCTCCGTGTCTTCAATGACAAATGCAAAACTCGAAGTTCCGTCATATTTGCAAAGAATGAATTTGGGACTTCTACAGAAGCATTTTCATCTTCATCTTCATGCATGTAGACGACTTTTAGAATCTCAAGTTTGGAGCTATCAAACTTACAAGAAAATACATCCATCTTCTTCCTTTCGCATAACAAATATTTAATATTCTTCCTCCTCTCAAGCAATAACCTCTGATTTTTGTTACACACATTTACTGCTTGAATTTCCTCATTAGCTATCCATAAGGCCACTTCACGAACCAAGTCATGCATTTTCACACTTTCTTTCCCACACTTCAACAACAAACAAGAATCTACAAGTTTATGAATGGCAACAACGACTTGGTCTCGAGCTTCATCGTATTTGCCATCCATTTCCCCAAAAAGGCGCACTCCAATGCCAAATCTGGTTAAAGTTTCATTGGAAAGTTCTTCATCTTCTGGAAACATAGAACATAAGAGGAATAGTTTCTGGGATTCTTTATCCTTCAAATTATCATAACTATACCTCAAACATTTATAAACTTCAATCAAACTTTTAGGAACACCATGCATAGGCACGGACTTCTGCAAGGATCTTAAAGTTGATTTCCACACTTTCACATTTCCTTCACCTTTTAAACTGCTAGCAATGGCTGCTATTGCAACTGGTAACCCTTTACATTCTTTGGTAATATCGCGTCCCTTATCCAACAAATGTTTCAAGGAACTATCACTTATATGAGCATGCTTTTTGAACAAGGTCCATGCATCTTCCTCGGATAAAACCCCCAATTGAATTATCTTTTCGCATCCCATTGATCGGCAAACGGGCATTTCACGTGTGGTTAAAAAGATTCTACAACCCTTGTGATTGTCTTTCCTTGGAATCCCAATTTCATCAAAACTGATAGGTTTCCACACATCATCCAATATCAAAAGAATTTTTTCACCACCGGTTAATCTACTCCAAAGAAGCTTGAGTCTCTGATTCATTTTTATCCTTGAAATCCAATCCTAAGGATGCAGCAATGTCATCTTGAATCTTTCTTATATCAGGAGTATATGACACTGTAGTATCAATGACACGATCAAATTGTTGTAACTGTCAATGACACGATCAATGACACTGTTGTATCAATGACACTGTAGTATCAAAACCCACTTCTTTTGCCAGTGTAGTTTTACCTGTTCCCCCCATCCCTTGCAATCCAATTATAAAGTTGCTGTCATTTTTCAGGGCATCCAAAAGTTCTTTGATTTTAGACTTTCTGCTCTCAAAAGAAACGTAATCTTGTGAAGAATGATGCTCAACACCTGGAAGTACAGGGGAAATTCCAACATTGCCACTTTTCAACTCCTTCTTCTTATTTGCCAGTTGTTTTCCCTTACTATATCTCCATTTGCAATTTGGACACCATCCAAAAAAACACGTCTTTTTCATCTGAATGTCTATAATGAGTTCGTCAGTTTCTTTTAGCCAGGAAGTGACATCTTTTCGAATATTGTTTCCCTTTCTTTCTTCTTCTTTGACACTTTCTTCCAAAGCTTTCTTTTCCTTTTCAATGTCTTCAACAATGTCCCAAAAGCAGCATACGTATCGTGATTCTGCTATTGCGCAATCCATCAATCTGTCTAAAATTGATTTTACCAACTCAGCTCCAATGTCTGCCATCTAAATCAAATTCAACAGAGAAAAGTTAATAAAGGGCACGAAATTAATTTACAATTTCCTATAATAGTATCCGATAATGTGTCTGTATAATGTATATATATGTAAATCAAAATTTACCTTAATTCACATAATTGTCACTATTGCCTTGATTTATATTTATAAAACTAAATATTCACGTTGAAAAATTAGAAATATCATACAATTTGATGTTTTGAAGAAAATACAAATAAAAATGACATCCTTTTTTTTTTTTTAATAAAATGACATGCTTTTCTGATGGGTCTTCGACTGCCTTCTTAAAATGACATGCTTTTAAAAGGCCTTATTTTGTACAATAATATTATGGTCCCTTTAAAATAAGGTATTGATTTTTGCAATATAAAGTGATAGCAAATTATTAATGTATTGATTTCATTATTAATAAAATATAGAATATATTCAAATAAAATAAAAAATGGCATGAAATTAATTTATAATTTCCTATAATGTATATGATAATGTGTGTGTGTGAGTGTATATATATATATATATATATATATATATATATATATATATATATATATATATATATACCATAATTGTCACAATTGCCGTGATTTATATTTGGAAAATTAAATATTTACATTTTAAAAACTAGAAATATCATATAATTTGATGTTTGGAAGAAGAAAATACGATTAAAGATGACATGATTATCAAAAGCCTTGTTTTATACAATAATATTATGGGCCCTTTATAAACTATAGGTACTGATTTTTGCAATATAAAGTAAAAGCGATCTTATGTAACATGTAAATATGTGAGTTAAAAATTATCATTATTGTATTAATTGATAGAATCAAACGTGGAACAAAGAAAACAAAACTGTAAGATAAAAATGACTTCATACTAAAAACAAAAAAATGGGTGAAAAACATGAATGCGGTCTTATAATTATGAAAATCTATTGGAATGATTTTATTGACTTTATAACAGGTATTTCAATTATATAAGAATATATATATTTATAAATACAGAATAATTTTCCGACTATTTTTTTATGATTATCATATAAATTTTAAATTATCTTTTGATTTGTTCATGGTTTAAATTATCATATAAATTTTTATGATTTATCAATTTATAAATTTATTTATAATTGTAGAAATAGAAAAATATATTTGAAAATTTATATTGATTAATAGTTAATATTTTTCAAGGTGACAGTTATTATTGATGTGTTTATTTCATATTTAAGAAAATATAGAATATATTCAAATAAAAATTAAAGTATAATATATAATAAAGGCTGTATCAATAATTTCTAAATGAAATTTCATAAAAATAAAAACTGAGAAAAAAAAATATGGTGATAGTAGCTAAAAAATGACACTTAAAAAAAGTAATTATTAATTTTTTGTTATAACTTTCTATTGTCAGATTTAAAGAATATTGTTGATAGTTATAAATTTATTAAGAAAGAAAGTTCTAAATCTTTTGAATAATTTTATTTACTAAATATATAAGAATTTCAAAATAATGTCATTAAAAAAATTTACTATAAAAAAATACAGTAAATTTAGAACTTGAAAAGAAAATTGACAACAACAAAAGATTACAATATTTTGAAACACGAAGATAAAGAGAAACTAGTATTGAAAAATTAATTAAAAGTGAATAAAATATAAAAAATTACAAAGAAATAGAAAGAGAAAATTTTAAGACTTTAGGAATAAATAAATAAATTTAAAAATGAAAAGAGAAGATGAAATAAATGTTCGATAATTTAATGAAAAAATTTATACTTATGAGAAGATGATATTTAGAATTGTGTAGGAATTCAAATTCAAAATGTTTAATATTTCAAAAACAATATTGAGATGTTGATTATTTACCCTATATTATACCTAAATCAAACTTTTTAAGTGTCAAAAGAATTAATCAATGCCAAATGCTTTCAAAATGAAAATCAAATGAAGTTTCGTGAAAACAATTATTTGGTATCAGAACGAAAACTATGCTTTATATGGTAAAAACTAAAAACTACACAACTTTTTCTTTTTTATGAAAAGTAGTTATATCTTAATGGATGAATAATAAATATTGAAATAAAATAAAAAACAGTACATCTTGAAAGAAATCAAGGGCAATAGTACATTGGAAAACCTTTTTCAAAAACAAATTTGTATTCTTTAGCATTTTGCAAATGAAAAATTGTAAGATAATATATCTTAAATATATAAAATTATCAGTTGGGATTAATACTAATAAAACCGATAAATAAAAAAAACAACTTTGATCAATATAGGTTTGTATCAGAAGATGGTGAAGAATTAAAAATTGAAGTGGCAAACAAGACCTCAAAAAGTGGACTTAAAAAATTAGGAAAATAGAAAAGTTGAAGAAATACACTCACATTGATATTTGAATTATGCACTTTTACACATTCAAGAAAATATCAGCAAGAATCGTTGCCAAAGGGTTTGCAGTATGCTATTTCCCCTATTTCATATTATGCACTGTCCTTCATCTCCTTGCATCTGAACACATTTATCTTCCTTCATATTATCCATGCACCTTTTCTTCCTTGCATCTGAACTCAAATGATCATGCATATGATTGAAAATGAACAAGCAATAATCAATTAGTTCTTTTTTGAGCCATATAAGTTTGGAACAGAAGATGATGAAAAATCACAAGACAAAGTAGCAAGCAGAACGAACTCAAATGATTATGCATCTGATTGAAAATGGAAATTAGCAGAAGAAAAGGCGACTATACAATTCTTCTTACCCCATTTTGGAGAGTTTGAGCATCAATTTTGATCACTTTGCTCAAACATCATAGAATACTACTGTATTCGTTTGCAAGTCTTGGCCACATCTTTATTATCTCTTGCGAGTCTCAGTCTTTTCGGAAACAAATCATTCCCATCTAATACTTTACAGCTGCCCATCATTTATTAATTTAAAATAGAAAAATAATAAATTTATTTCCATAAATAGTATTAGCAATTTATCAACTTATCATTCTCAATGTCGAATTTGTTGTCGGCACACTCTCCTCGTGCTTTTGGCTTTTTGACTATAGTAAGCAAAATTTGAAAGTAAACTTTGAAAACAAGTTTTTGAACAATCTATTGGAATGGGTAAAATTTAGGTTGGTGTAAAATTTACACTAAAATTTAAGTGAAATGTTAGAAGAAAATGTACCATTACAACAAAAGTTGAACTTCAAAATGTATTATTCAAGAATATTTAAGGTTCAGTAAAATAGAGAAAAATATATTATTTAAATGAATAAAAACAAATATTTTATTTATTTTAATACATTATAAAGAGAATAATAAATAAATAAATAAATAATGTAAAAGTAAATAAAATAAAAATTTAAAAGAACCCAGCATATCCTCTTCGCAACTTAGGCTTCATTCATGAATTACTCTCACGTCACGAGTCCTCACATTTGAACAAAACGATGAACCATTTGTCATACCCAAGCTTCCATGGGTTACAATGTAACAGTTTAGAACTTGCAACTGCATTTTTTATACCCAATGAAGTCAAATAATATATATTTAACTAAGTATCTTTTTCTTTCATCTCTGGTTTTACAATTATGTGATTTTCAGGTATCTCATCTTCATGGAGCCAATAAACAAATTAAAATAGTGTATTTATATATTATTAATAAATATTTTTGTTTTGAGCAAGACTAGGAATTCTTTTTGTTAAAACAAGTCTTGCCTTTGGAGCATACTCTGAGTTCTGAGGAAGATGAAAAGTCATAAATATTTTTTATACAAACCAGATTATGAGTTTCCATGTAATTGTGTTGATTGTGAAGAATATTTTAGAGGTTGATTGGGAAAAAGGATTTTAAAGAAAAGAGAATGGAAGGATAATTTTTTAATTTAAATAAATAATTTTAATTTCAATGTTTTTTAAAATAAATTATGTAGAATGATAAACACAGGGGAAATTCCAACATTGCCACTTTTCAAGTCTTTCAGTTTCCTTCTTCTTCTTTGCCTGTTGCTTTCCCTTATTATATCTCCATTTGCAATTTGGACACCATCCAAAAAAACACGTCTTTTTTATATTGCTCTTCTTTCTTTCAAAGAACTCGTCCGTGACCTACATCCTTTACATCTGGCCCATTTATT